GGGGAAAAACCACAGCTCTGGGATTTGATTATTCTGAAAAAATAGTGCTAGCTGAATTTCATTTAAATTCTTTATCTGGGCTTTACCACTCTGTGTGTGTGTGTGGGTTCCTCTTATCTGTTTGTGTTATGTTGTGTTGAGTCATTCAGCCTTGACACAGATCCTTTCTTATCTAAGAGCTGCCGAGAGACAACTAAACGAGGGCAAGGTGAAGCCAACGGATGAAAGAGCAAATGACACTTTCTCAAACATGACTTTGTGGACTGAAGAAGTCAGTGGATTGTACAAACTGTGTTCGGTCGAGTCTGTTGACTGTCAAATGGAGAGAAAGATAAAGGCCAGGCCGCTATCACCAAAGAACGATCTCTAGCCAGAGAAATTGTCCCTAATACTTATCGCACTGTAGTTTCCTTTCTGACTGGCAGGCTGGGTCTAGCAAACTAGGGAAAGTGCGTGCCTGAGGGAAAATCTGACACTTGGCTCATTCGCTTTTGTTTATTCACATTAAAGACCAAATGAATTGGCTCAACAAATCCAGATTTCTTTAGTATGTTTGATCATTTGGACAGTTTTCAACTGATCAGATTAGGAGACCAAGTGGCTTAGGGAGGTTTAGGTGGGTTTTTTCAACCCTTAATTGGATATAATCAATATTTTTGGTCCATTTTCTGGAAGAGAAAGAATGTGCATCTTTTCAATTTCTAAGAGTACAGCATACAACAAAGCTAACCCATGTAGTAAAAGTCTGAAAACTGAATGAAAAAAAAAAAGGTCTCTTGACAGGCTTTATCCACTTTTTAGGAAATAATATGCATCTTGTGACTCAACAGAGTGTTATCAGTGCGTACATGTGCAGAGCAAAGAGTTTACATTATGTATATTTGATCTTTTCAGCAAGTATGGGGAATTATGTTACAAAAATACTACATCAGTAGAGTCTTCAGGAAATTTCTGCACATTGCCACTAGTTATAAAAGTTACAAACTGAAATTACCGTGTCAAATATGATACAGGATCAAAGCTAAGAATCTAACTGTGGGGAAACACCTGCCAACAACTGGAAAGCAACTGTAAATTCTTGTGTTGTATTAGAACCACATGGTTTGCTTGAAGGACTAAGAGTATAACTAAATCTAAGAGACAAAAATCAGGGCCACATCAAGTCATTTTCTAATCCCAAGAACAAATGAAACATCTAACAAAAGGCTCCGAGTCTCACGCCACCGCATCCTCTTTCTAGAAAATGTCATAGGCATGCTTGACTGAGAGCGAGCCAAGCAGATGAAAACGCTTTGGTCTCATCCCCCTGAAGCTCTTTTCCAACTCTAATGTATATAACCTCATCACTTTGTGCTGCTTGTGACATTTCTATTGAGAGAAACTGCTAAAATACAGCTATTCCAATGCATCTCATTCCCGATTCAACAGCCGTCTTTAAATGTCATTCATCCACTCTCACACTTACAGCCATTGGTGGCGCGAATCAACAAAATGACTGTCTCAAAAACTGTGAACGAGAGAAATACGTCTTGTTCCTGTTCCGTCGCACTTCCTGAGGCTGAGTTTGGCTTGACGTAGCGCTTGTTGCTTGCAAAGGAAGTAATTATCAATTATAAGACGGATTTGGCTGACTCTCAGAGGAGGATGAGGCAGGTTTAGAGTGTTTAAGTGATACTCTAAGTATAGAAGCAGTGGTGTAATACTATCCAGCCTCCCATGCTGAGATACTCAATGCTCTTACTGCCTGATACTACAACAATGTCAGCAAAGTGCCCACACGCTGACCCCCGACTTTAACCCTCATTATAGATTCCCTACACCCTCCGCTCTCTCTTTGCTCGCCTATCATCTCCTCTCTCGCTCCAGCTATCCGTCACATTCTCTCTCCGAGAGCCCATCCTTGTTTTAATCTGAGTGCTAAACTGAGAAACAGTCACACATCTTCACATGCACAAACACTCCCTGACTCCAGTGTGGTTGCTTTGTGATTTTGAACCGCGTACTCGTCATTACCACAGGCCTCTCTTCGAAAATGAGGCACAATTACGACAGCGATGCATCACAGCCTAGCCAACTAGTGCAGAACAATTCCATTTAAACCCAGCTTTTATGATGTCTCATCCGTAAAGACCCCAGATCAGACCCACCTCGCAACTGCAAGTTTAATTACAGATCACATTCAATTACGTCGAGCCTGTTCATGTAATTGGTACTATTAAACACACTACGAATTTAAGAAAACTGAAACTTCCAAATGATCTAACATCCATAACAAGAGACCCAAAATAATCTTACATGCATCTCTATCTCATCTCTGGTGTTTATGAACACCACACTGACACATTTTGTTGCAGATGAATTGCCTAGTTATATATTTCTCCTTGCCTCTTTCAGTCACGACTCGTAGACACACATACACTCTAGTCTGGGTTTTAGTTTCTCCTGACACTGCAGGACTGAAGCTTCAGCGTGCAGACAGATACAGCGGCGTCATTAGAGCGGACCCACAAGGGACCGCTGGCAGGCAGGTGCACGTCTCCTCACTTCCACCAGGGGAGCTTGGGAGTGGGGCATCGTCTTGTTCTCTGCTCTCGGTTATGAACACACTACTAAAAGCAGCAAAGTTAACCAAGGGATCAGACCCTGCATAATAGCAGAAAACTGGGACGTGGGAACATAGGGACAAGAGCATTGAACCTAAAGCTTCAAGGACAAAATACTGCAGCCAAGAGTAAGCATTTCTGCTATACTGTATCTTATAACATCAGGTTTTTGCATGTTCTGAAGAAACAAGTGAAAAGAGTCCACCTAAGACTATATGATTCAAGTCAAAGTCAATGTAAGTCTATGCATTTTTTCACCGGATGCTAGGCAAAAATGGTCAAATCGGACTAGCACAATCGCTAAAGATCTTCAAAACTGGAATAAAACGTCTCAGTCTTACAGACTAGCTGTATCAAATCAACATCAAAACAAGAAGAACATCAGGTTTGTCCTGTCTCACTAACTCTGAACCCCAAAAACTCTTTTCTCCCAAGTCTCCATTCTTACCCCTCCCTCCCCGAGCAGCATTAATCACCCTGGCCCTGAACAGAACTAAATGACTACGGCCATTCAAGCCCAGGACAGCTTTGTTACACACACAGCCTTTTCTGAATGCATCTCCACAGCCTTTTTTGTCTGCTTGGAGAGGGCTGCTCCTCAAACCCAGCTCCTCCTTCCACCAGAACGGCCGGATTACCTCTCACAGACCAGTCGGACAGGGAGAGAGGAGGGTTATGGAGCAAACAGTTCACTGGGGTGATTCATGGGCCCTTCTAGAAAGACCTACACCCCTCTTACCCGCCGAAAACTAAGGGCCATGCCTTCAACCAGTGCCTAGCAACCGGCAGCTGGGGCGCAACAGAATTGGGGAAGGACAGGGATTCTCTGAGCTGAATTGGGCTAGACTAGCAGGCTCCATGGTAGATACAGGGACAAAAACAGGAGACAAACAGCAAGACAAGTGCAGAAGCTGGAAGGACAATGGCAGAAGCTGTAGCCTGACTCAGCCCCTCATCAGTCACTGTAACATCTACTAGCCTTATTCTCTTTAAAGAGTTCAAACAAAAACCCAAGCAAACACTGTTAAGTGCGAAACGGGGATTTTGGACAAAGGCGCTCTTGACACAGCTAATGTAATGTGTGTGACTGTCTCAAAGACAAATATGAACTGTTCACATCATGAAAAGACACCAAATACAACCCACGCCAACTCCAAGTGCAGTTTGCCTTATCTAAACACACCATACACTGTAATTAGGTATATTACTTTTATTCTCTTAAGATACAGACTTAATGGTTGGACACACCAATCTGACTACATCAAGTCATTTGTTTCACACCATTAACAATATCTTCATTAGCGATTAATTAAAAAGCTAACAAGTGTTCGTTGTCCATTACTCATTTAGTTATGATATATAATAGAGACTACCAAATAGACAGAAGTGATTGGCTTCCAAACTCCTTTACGGTCTTGATCTATACAACAAAACTGAGCAGTTTAGGCAGCTTAGGGAATGCAGAGAAAAGACATGAACAGATGTGGGGAAATAAACATGCTGTTTCAAATATTACATAAATCACATAAGCCTCTGAGTTTTACTTGAATAATAATCCTGATGTAATATTTTAAAAAGCAGAACGGACTAAGCAAGAGGGATTAATGAAACCAAAAACAGACATATCAGAAGATGCAACTAATAGCACCAGTCCAGAAGTTAATATCGAAAGCTCTTCAGAATTCAGTGCAGACTATTGTGTCTGGTGTAATTGGTTCAGTTGATTGTTTCATACTCTTGGACTGATGAAATCTCATTCTGGATCATGTTTGTATATCCATTTCTTTGCAAAAACGATCTCAAATTATCAGTTTGTCATTCTTAAACCATGTTTCTAATTTGGGGTCCATATGTGCAATCTTTGCGCCACGCCTTGCGCATCCACTGGTGCTTTTCACAGCAGGTGTCACCCCACATTCTGAGACTACCGCGACTGTGGCACCTGCTGTGGAAAGCACTAGTTGGTACCTAACCACACTGCTTTAACGCTGGAGTTATAAATATGGACTACAGCAGAAGTTTAACACATTTGATGATAAATCATAACAAACAAGTATTTCCCCCCTCCAAGTACAAATAATTCTCCACAAACACTCTACGCAGCAACATAACATTCTTATTCGGATTAAAACTAAATTTACTTTGCCAAGTGATATGCCTGAAAAAAAGTGTCCAAAATAAAACCCCGCGCTCCTACTGTATAATAAAAATAATTTTCTTGTAAAATTCATTGAAACAAAATAAATAAGATAATAATAATGAAGGAAACTTTGTAAGGGTGTATATAAAGTTAAATTATGCATTTAGCAGGGTAATACACGAGGTCTCAGAAAACTCAAAAATCTTTTCTCCGAAGCTAAAGCGTTCTATTAGAACCGAGCATAAAAAGTAACTCACCATCCACTTGGTTAAAGTATACTAATCCACAGAGTAAAAGGTGTGTTAGAGGACTCATTCTGTCATAGTCCACATCCACTCCACACCTCAGTTCTCAAACACTGGACAAGTTTCTCCTCTTTTAGTATTTGGAGTATGTAGGAACTCTCAGTAGCCGCTCAGATCCAGCTGAAATGTCAGATGAGTATTCGCTGGGCTCATGGTGTCTTTCTGGATGAGGAATGAGATCCACGCGCACCAGTAAGGATTGAACTAGTGTCTGTCAGCCCGTGGGTTATACCATGCCTTATACCAGCTTTTGATTTCTATCCTTAACGGGACTAAAAAACAGCAGAAGCGAGTCAGAAACAGCAGAGAGCACGCGTAAAGACAGATGCGGATCGGTCCAAACGCGCGTGGAAATGTTGCGCGCTCCGGTTCCTTCAAAAGCTTCTGAAGCGCCTTACAGATCGCTTCCACGACCCTCTCCGGTATTTAAAGTGTAAATATGTCTTCTCGTTTCATTACACTCTTAACTCCGCGTCCAGAAAAGCCGCTCCAAAGTTCCGTGGCGCGCCGTTAAATCCAGCGTAAATCGGTCGGGGTGGCGCTGGCCCCGTGCGATCGCTCTCTGTGAGTCTACAGCAGAGTGAATGTGATCAGTCTTGGGAAGGGCGAGAGCTCCGCAGCGCTCCTACAGCTCCATAACTGACACCCCTGTGCGCACAGCTCCCGGGCCGAGCCAAGACTGACGCTCATGCTAGAAGAAGAAACAGCGAGGGGGAGGAGAGCAGGAGGAGTGGAGGAGGAGGAGGAGGAGGATGCTGTAGGCAGAGGTGGCTGGGGAGCGCTCAAAGCTTCTCTCCGATCTTGGCTCACAGCTTTCCATGGCGTTATCCACAAAGTTGACCCAAAGCGCCAGACGATCGGCACCACACCAAACGAAAAGACAGTAGGACCACCAATAGTATATAATAATTATACAAAATATAAAACAAAGTAAAATGAAACTGATAAAAATTATTATTATTATTATTTATCTTTACAATTTTATTTTATTCCTTGTAAATAACCGCTAAATCTGGGATATAGCCTATAAAATATGAATTATATTATTTATACTATAATTTTAATTATAATTACACTTGTTTCTTTTTTTTAATTTAATTTAAATTGTTATACAAATATAAAAAAAAAAAACAATTATAAAACAGTTATACAAGATACATATATTCAATATAATAAAATACGAAATATAATATTACACTAGATTAAACTGTATACTTTCAGACAGACAGACAGACAGACAGATAGATAGATAGATAGATAGATAGATACTGCAGAGCGGAAGACCACCATTCACTGATATTATCTTCTAGTCTCAGCTCTAAGACTGTATAATTGGTTTCATGAAAATTTGATGGGCTGTCCTGCATTAGGTGGATAATACTGAGGAGGTCAAACACACAAATCTCATTTCCTGAGAGGGAATTAACTTACATACTGACGTTAAATGTAATTTTGACAGGCAACATGTATGCTCTTGCTTTGCATTATTAAAACAAATAAATGCAGTTTTTCCTTCGCTTGATGTTATTTAGACGCGTTCGGTTAAGGATTCTTATTTTAAACTTAATTTGAGAGCGAGTGTCAGGCAGGGTGAATAAATGCTGTGAAAGGTGCCGCAGCTCAACCGCGCAGGAGCACGGGCTTGTGTCTGCATCTCCATCCGAGCGTGGACGCACTGGATGCCGCCTGGCTGCTTTAATCCACCTGCTTTGTGGACGAATCTTTAGCGCCCCCTAATGGAACAGTTAAACACAGAGCCCAATCAAACAAAGACCTCTGAGCTTTCATAGTTCCAAATATCATATGCCAGAGAAACCTAAGGACCAATTTATAAGAATGTTAACCTTAAAAAGATATATTTCAAACAAGCAACCCAAAGGAGGCACAAAAAATAAAAAAATAAATAAAAAATAAATAAAATCCAATATTCAGATCAATATGGGTTTTTCAGTTTACCTATAAAACATCCTCACCACATTCACATTTATAATCATTTGAGAACCTTTCACACTTATGAAAATTAACTCTTTGATATTTACAGTTGCACTACTCTAGTAAAACCATGCTAAATTTTCTAAAAAGACGATTAATCACGATTAATCGCATCCAAAATAAAAGTTTATTTATATTATATTATTATATTTATATTGTTTACATAATATATGTGTGTGTGCTGTGTATATTTATTATGTATATATAAATACAAACACATGCATGTATATATTTAAGAAAAAATATGTTGCGTTTATATATTAAATATATTTATATATAATATAAAATATAAGAATATAAATATATAAATGTATATGCATGTAAATATTTCCAAAATATATGCTGTGTGTGAGTGTATGTATATATACATAATAAATATACACAGTGCACACATACATTATGTAAACAAAAACTTTTATTTTAGATGCGATTAATCGCGATCAATTGTTTGACAGCACTAATATATATATATATATATATATATATATATACATACATACACACACACACACACACACACACACCTTTATTGCACTTTGATTTGCAGTTACAAGAAATAAAATCACAATTGTGACATACAGTCACAATTACCTTTTTTATTAATTCATTAAGTAATTGAATTAAATTTTACAGATAAAAGGCAAATTTCACACTTTTTTTTCAGAACTGCCACTGTGCACATTATCTCTGATTTATTCCAGTTCTAGTTAAAAAAGTGTGTCGTTTAATTGAATTCAAGCATATCTGGAATAAAAGATCCTTTGAATTCGGCGTGAAACCTTGAATCAATAGCAGCCAAACCTGAGGCACTGGGGCCGATAAAAGCAGATCTGTAAAATCATCAAACATGGCCTGACTCCTCAGAAGAGCGGTTAGACTTGTGCAGGCAACACAGGGGCCGGATTCCCTGTGCGAGCGGGACGCTGGAATCCCCCGCTTTCAAACTGATTTCTGACATCAAAGCAAAATAAAAGCCCTTCTGTGGAAATCATTCAAAAACAGACACTTATAAACAAATATCTGTTCTTCTCTCATCCCCTTCTTTCAACTGCTCTCGCTCATGCTCCGAACTCCTGCTGCATTTCACACACACACACACACACACACACACACACACACACACACACACACACCCCTTTGCAGTGTCATCACAGTGTTTCTTTTAAAAAGAGGGCTCTCTCAGTAGGTACATAATGATAGCTTTGACTCGCAGAAGCATTTTCCACCTCTTCTGTTTGTTTGTGAGGCGACATGTTGGAGCTTGTGAGGTTTTTGCTGTTGTAACATTTAGTTTGCGGTGAGTGCTTTCAACAAGCCAGATCCAGCAATCTTCTTGATAGTTTAATCCATGCGTGTGAGCCTCACGATGAATGTGAATTCATTATTCCTTTGTCAGCCCAACCACTAGTAACGCAGGTAGCTGCTATAGAATGGGACGCCACTGAATCGCTCCTCTGATATGACGTCACATTTCAATTGTATGACTGTACAGGGAATTAAAAGGCACAAAGTTCAAAACTTGGACACCCTGTTACATGATGGTGCTTTTGATAATGCCTCTTTGTAAGACTACTACTATTTCAACAAATGTTGCGAAAAGGTGTGCTATTACTTTTTTATGTGAAAAATTGAAAGATGACAAAATAGTATGAAAAAATCCATAGAAAATATCCCTTCAGACAGCAAGCATCCAGTCAGCAACATGAAAAAAGAAAGAAAGAAAGAAAGAAAAAGAAAGAAAGAAAGAAAGAAAGAGAGAGAGAGAAAAAGAAAGAATATAGTTACGAAAGAAGGAAATAATATATTTTAATATATTTTAAAATGTAAAATATTTTAATGTAGTTTAAATGTAATAATGTTTTACAGTAATATTGTTAAATATTAATATTAATAATATTGTTATTGTTGTTTTAATTTTAATATAGTTTGAATGTAATTTATTCTTGTGATGGTGAGTAAAAAGATAAAAGCAAGCAAGAAAGAAAGAATATATTTTAATATATTCTTTAATTCATCAATTTTTGAATCATTTTAAAAGTTTTTAAATTCCTTGTTTATATTGTTGTGATTTTTATTATTATTTTAATTCCTTTTATGTAAAGCACTTTGAATTACCATTGTGTATGAAATGTGCTATATAAATAAGCTTGCCTTGCCTAATATCTTTTAAAATGTTATATATTTTAATGTAGTTTAAATATAATAATGTTTTATAGTAATATTGTAAAACATTACATTTAAAAAATAATAATTTTTTTTATATATAATGTATTTTAATATAGTAATTTATTCTTGTGATGGCAAGAAAGAAAGAAAGAAAGAAAGAAAAAAAGAAAGAAAGAAAAAGATTTGACTCATAGCTTTATTTATTTAATTCATTCATTACAGTAATATTCTTTACTGTGAATTATTTTGGCCACGATAATCGTGTAGTTAAAATTTTAGGTCCTACTTTATATTAAGTGGCCTTAACTACTATGTACTTACATCAAAAAATAAGTACAAGCCTGAGAGACACTTCAGAATCAGACGGTGGAGTGGGGGTGACCAAAGGAAGTGTACATGACCAGAGAACCATATCATGCATTATACATATAAGCATCACCTCTTTCATGCACACCAATAAGAAAAATTAAAGATGCTAATGAATGGGCTTCTTAGTGCCATATTAATGTCATTTATAAGCTTGCATTGAATCTACAACCACAACAGATGCACAATAACCTCAATTCCACAAAATTACGCAGCTTTTCCGCCACAGTTATTGAAGGAAGTGATGAAATTCCATGTGGACCTACTCATGACTTTGTGTTTATATGGTTTATATGGTTGAAGGCGTTCACAGTAATTCCTACCGTTACCCAGCCAATCAAACCAAAGAGGCAAAAAAACGAAATGAAACGTATTACGCATTCGCATTACATCGAATGGTGAAAATGCAAATTACCTCAACAAAGGCTTTCAAAAGAGCTTAAAAGCAGCAAAATTACAGCACGCTGTCAATCACGAGAAATAACCCGAGATTAGCATTCATATGGTTGAATAAAATCTTCGCTATTACATGGGCACGCTTTTCATCCGAGCTCTGCTGAACAAAACCACCTCCCACATCAAATTATCCCTCCTTTCCTCTCGCTGTGCCCTTCTCTTCATCATCTCCCACGCCACAATGGCCACCAGTGCTCTGCCACATGCTCCAGACCTTCGTTTGTTCCCACCTAAACCAATCAAGCGCCTATCGCTGTCAACTCATTTGGCCAATTACGGCTGTATAATCTGATCAACCCAAATCATCTATCAGGACTCTCCACCGGTTTTTGTCTGTGGACCATCTGGTGAGGGAACCCAAAGGAAGCGGAGGAATGTATTTTAATATAGTAATTTATTCTTGTGATGGCAAGAAAGAAAGAAAGAAAGAAAGAAAGTCTATTTTAAAATGTAATATATTTTAATGTAGTTTAAATGCAATTTATTCTCGTGATGACAAGGCTCATTTTGGAATCCTGAGAATCCTGAAAAAAAAAAAAAAATGTCACAGCTTCCACAAAAAATATTAAGTATTTTTTATTAATATAAGCATATATGAGAGAGACACTGTGAAATAACTCTTTCTTAATGACAACAGCAAGGAATAAATTACAAAAAAAATAATTAAAATACTACTTGGGTGGAGCACATTA